AGAGTGTATTTTGACGGTGAGGTATGGTAGAGGTAAGATGCAGCAAAGCAGCACACTAAGCTCCTCTTAAGAGGACACCGCATTGTTATTTAAAGCAGCTCTTATCCACAGAACAGACGAATATCAACCCATACCCAAGCCGTAATGTGCAAACAAAACTACCCAAACGGCAACCTAGCGGTGACCACTGCCCTTGCGTGGGCTAGCTGTTGTGGCGCCAAATAAGGCTGTGCTTACCAAAAATTAAAAAACAGCGGTTTTGAGCGATTCTTCGAAACGCCACGAGAACCAACAAAAAAACCGTTTAAAAAAAAAATGAAGGGAAGGCGGTCAACCGGAGTTTCTCCGATTTTCACGGCGACTACCCTCGGTTTACCGTCGGGGTTGGTGTTCTTTTTGTGAGGAATGAGAAAAGACCTCGGTATTGAGCTCAGCTCCAGACTCTTAGGAAAGCAAGGAAAAAAACCGTTCAGAAAAAGTCGCACAGTAGGAAGAGATATTCAACTTTGACTCCAATCGAGCTTATCTGGTGGATCAGAGGAAGTATGTGCTATCTTACTCCTGGGTGACTACAGCTGGTGCTCCCAAAAACATACCGAACAGTTAAAATGCACGTCTGCAAGACACACAAGCACTCCCATATTCGCCAATCAGACTCTTACCACGCTGGTAGGGTCGACGCTGACCCCCTTCTCGAGCAATTCCATCGCCCCACCCACGTCGCTCATCATCTTTGGGGCGGAGGGCACAGCAAGCATACAAGTGAGCAGACGTAAGCGCCGGGCGCGCGCAGCATTTGCAAAGACGCCCGCCTTGTAACTGCCCACGCACGCGATGTGCTGAATCCGCGAACGTATTCGTGCAGAGAGAGCATGGTCGAATAACAAGCGCGGAGGAATGTAGACACAGCAGTCATCACTCATTCCCGATGTTGGCATCGGCTACACGTTCAAGTTCTGAAACAGCACTGACGCACGATTGGTGTGACACATATCAGACAAGACGTACTAAAGGGGCTCCAAGAGCACAACCGATGCACCTACTGGCATGTGCTAGGACCCAGAACACCCACCACTCGCTCAGTCAGGCCCCACACGAGCGAGAAAAAAAAGGAAGATGGTGCAGTCAGTCATCTCAAGAAAAAAAAAAAAAAGGTTCATCGGGAGTACAGGACGAAATCCTCAAGCGAATGGTTGGTGGGTACGGTTCTCCAACGCAACAGGTTTAGTAGCCGAAGAGCAAAAAAAAAGGTGCAAAAATCCCCTGACGCTACGAGTTCATTGCCAGCCAATGGTACTCTTTCTGGGATAGGGATGGAATCGTCATGTCATATTAAGAAAAACAAAAAAAAAGGAACACGACGTGCAGATATCCTGAGTGACGGCCAGCACCATCAAAATTGATCAAAAGCAAAACATCGGGAAGGAAGAACATTACCGCCACCACCATCCGGAGAACCCCTCACCTGCAGCAGGCAGGAGGCCTTGTTGAGGTACAACACCGGGCTGCTGGGATTGGCGCGGATGGCGGCGTCGAACAGCTCCAGGATTGCACCGCAGGAGGAAGCGTCGCCGGCTTTCATCGCCATCGAGTACTTCAGTTCCGCCTGCGAAGGAAAAAGGGGGCGGGGAGGAATCGAAGTAGGCATACGCCGCATGAAAGAAGAGGGTTTTGGTCCACGACTCGACGAAACACTCGAAAATGTGAGAAACAATGGGCTACCATTTTCGGTAACATCGCCATTGTCTTTGCTGCAGCTTTTCGCCACCGTCAACGAACGTGGGGCTATGGTGAAAACGAAATAATGATGGCGGCTGAAAGATCTGGTGTACCGTCGACGGAAAGGCGATATTTGCGCCAGGAGCACGAGGCCGAGATGTTGTTCAGATGCCAGGCCACCCGTCAACTCTTCTGCACAGCAGTCGAGTGTCTTTACGTATGTCAAACAGCTGCGGCCTCCACGGTGCGCGGGATGAAGACAGCAGCAACAGCACATCGGGATCACGAGCAACAATAGCAGGCGGCCTGGCATAGGCACCAAAATCTCAGTCTCTTGCCCAGGCGCACAAATCGCATTTACTCGAAATAATGTTCGAACTTACAGCTCTACTCTTTGATACTTGGTTTTTCGGTAGCCCCAAGATTGTGGGCGGTAGCGTAGACTTGCCGTACGTATTTAATTTAACCAAAGAAGATGTTAGTCTGGATGTGAATTCTTTTTAATCTTGCCTTTCCTTAACTTGGGTTTCGTGCAGCGAATTCCCGCTGCCCGTCAACACATGTAGAGATTGTTCATTGGCACATTGGGCACATGTGTTGACGGGCAGCGGGAATTTGCTGCACGAAACCAAAGTGTAGGAACGGCAAGAATACTCACGTAGACTACAAAGCCTCCAAGGCCGATAGTATCTACTGCAGCTTTCCGCCACCGTCTACAAACTTGAGGGCTACGAAAGTACGGCGCGGCTGAAAGATCTACCGCGACTCCGACATTGGTGCAGATTCCAGGCCACCTGTTAGCAAAGCTCGTGGGCAGAAAGTCTGCCTTCTTCCCATGAACGCGAAACCACAGCTGTTGACCGGTAAGCAACCTACTGCAGGTGGGGACGAACACACAAAGCACCATACCTTGAGGGTAAGGAGAGCATCCGACTTCGGCACGGACTTGAGACCTTCTTCGATGGTGGCGGTCGCCTTAGGGATGTCCCCGGCCTGGACGAAAAACAAAAAAAAAATGTGAGACTGTTGTTGTTGTTGATGTTGTTGTCGTTGTTGCCTTCACAAAAAAAACGTTCCGATCTCCCCGCCCAGCACCTTCAGGTGTCCGTGCTCATCAAACACTTGACCGAGCGATTTTCGTGGTCACAGGCTAACTTATTGGGCGAAAAAAAAAAATGAAAGTTGGTGTAAGACAAACGAACGAATACGGCGCCACCACCACTCGGGTGAAGAACTCGAGGTGGCTGCAACAAAAACTGATGTGTCTTTCGTGTGGAGGTGACTCGAGCTGCGTGCATCGTGCCGGACTCGTGGAAAAAACACGTACAAGGCTACGTACGCCGGGACAAGAGTGTATTGCCAGCGTTACCTCATTTTGAGGTAATTCGCATTTTCTGAAACCTCGACAACTTGGAACAGGAAACGTCCATTTCGCCACCATTTGGACAACAGGAACATCCTGTTTGACAGAAACAACCTCTCTCAATTTACATCTCTTACTACCATGGGGGGG